TTTTTTTTTTATTAAATTTTTTTTTTTCCAACGTTTATTTATTTTTGGGACAGAGAGAGACAGAGCATGAACGGGGGAGGGGCAGAGAGAGAGGGAGACACAGAATCGGAAACAGGCTCCAGGCTCTGAGCCATCCGCCCAGAGCCCGACGCGGGGCTCGAACTCACGGACCGCAAGATCGTGACCTGGCTGAAGTCGGACGCTTAACCGACTGCGCCACCCAGGCGCCCCAAAAAAATTGTTTTTAAATAAAGGTAATAGTACCTACTCTCACAGGGCTGCTGTAAGGATTACACGAGTTAATACGAGTTAATTAAACGAGAACAGTGGGAAATAAATATATGAGTCCTTACTATCACTATTATTTATTTTTAATAATTTTTAAAAGTAGTCTTATAGATTCTGAAGCAGTATAGGAAAAGAGCAAAGTGAGCAATTAGGTAATAAGCAACAACAATAGTTAGAAGGAAAAGACAGAGAAAAAGAGACAAGCAAATAACAGCATTGCCTAAAACTGAGATATTGCAGAATGAATTCTTAAGCCCTTTAAAGTAAAATTAAAATTGCAAACAGAGGTAATCCCAGTGTCAAGCAAAATCCACAAGGGCAACGTGGAATTTCATAAAAGGTGATGAACTGAGTCTGAATGAACATGGAAATGAACTGAGACTGGATCCAAACATTGTCTGTAAAGGAAACAAAATGTTGCCAACTCATGAGAGGATGGAATGGTGATTAACAATCCTATTCACAATGTCTTTGTTTACTTAGAAATATCTTCAGGTAGCACAACATAATATAAAAGAATATAGAATATGGAGTCAGAAGATCAGCGACTGAGTCCCAGTTCTACCAACTCTAAAGTGACCTTAATTTAATAAGTCAGCCTCTCTGACCATGAATTTCTCCATCTTTACAATGAAAAGGATAACAGGTTTTCAGTTAGCTCAAACGGCTTTTACAAGAACTAAATGGGATTATATAGATGAAAATGTGCTTTAAAAATACTCTATAAAAGTATTTCTAAATAATAAAGTAAATGTCTAGCAAATAATCTTAAAATGTTTTAAATCAACTGCACAGGTATAAGATTCTAGCTGAACCACAGTTCACAAGAAAATAACCTATGAACTTTAGTCTAATAAAAGTTCAGGAGTGTCCTAAACATGACATGGTTGCTAAAGAACAAATGTAATTTCTGACTAAACAGAATGGACAGTCTCACAAAAAAGAACAGAGTCCTGGTGCTCTCTATTACAAACAACCTCCTTCAAGAGTATTACGTTCAGCTTTAAGTAAGAGTCTATTTTGAGAGAAACTGACAAATTGGAAATGTGCCTGAGAGGGGATAGTAACAAGAATAACAAAGCTCTTCTCAAATGAAGAACAGTTAAAGTAATTGGAATGTTGACCCGGAAGAAAAAGAAGGGGTAAGTGACAGCAATCTTTCGATGGTCAGACTTCCTCGTACTGCAGGGGAGGACAAATAAGCGCAGTGGAAGAAAGATGTTCACTTCATAAGGAAGAACTGTGTGGTAAGAAGTAGGAGTATTCTGTGACAAGAATGGACCACTTCCTAAAACAATGTGTGTCCAAAGTAGAAACTAAATGAGCATCAGCTATGGATGCAACTTTGGATAGGTTTGAAAGGTATTTCATAAATTTTCTAATTTAAGATTCAGAAGACTACCAGAAATGGCAGGTGACTGAAGCAGACGGTGACAGAGGAAGCACCCTATCCTGGTGTCAAAGGAAATCAGGTGTCAAGGAAAATGAGGAAATATGGAAAACACCAGCTCTCATTATAACTAGCACAGCTATTTATAAATAAACCACAGTGCTGTCACTGTCACTCTGCCAATGTGTTTTGGGCCTCACCTCCTCTCCTATGATCTTCTAATTCTTCCCTGCCAAGTACTGTAATTTAAGAGTCCTGTGAGCCCTTAGAAAGGCTGTCAAGAAAACTGTTTTCTTTTTAATTAAGTTCTTCAACTAAGCAAGTCATTACATTTCCTGACACACAACACCAATGCAAAACAAAGGGAGAAATTAGGTTTTGTCTATTACATTTTTTTCTCTTTTACATTAAGAATTTTTTAGTTATGGGCTTACAGAAAAAATTGAGCAGAAAGTACAGACAGTTCCCGTATACCTCCACACCCCCCGTTTTCCACTATTTTTAACATCTTGCTTTAGTGTGGTATATTTCTTACAACTGATGAGCCAATGTGGATATACAAGTATTAACTAAAGTCCATATTTTACATGGACTCACTCTGTGTTATATATTCTATTTTTTCTTTAAATTCTAAATGTGGGATTAAACACACATAACAAAATTTACCATCTCAACCATTTCTAAGTGTATGGTTCAGGAGTGTTGGGTGCATTCACATTGTTCTGCAACCAATTAATGGAACTCTTTTTTCTGCAGAATGAAACTCCATACCCATTAAACAATTAATACAATTTTCTTAAGCTCAATACTTATTGGGTAATAAAATAAATTTTTAAATCTAATTCTGTACAGTCTTTTTTGCAATTTTCCCTAGAATCCAAAATTCCAATTTACTATCATATGTTAATATATCCAATATCTAGTAAAAATTTTTTTGCTTTATTTTTACCACATACAATAAAAACTAAGATTCGGTATCAAAACTATATATTCACTCCAAAATATCATTATTTCTGTGCTCCAATAAGGGTTGGGGACATAACTAACGAAATAGATTCAGCCCATTTAAGTCGACATTTTATATTTGTAACATTTTGTTTAATCTTATCAAAATATTATGCTACCTTTCTAAACACAACAAAAATAATTATTTTAGTGTATACATGTAAATTCAAAACCTGTAATCAGTTTTTATTTGTGGGAAGGAAGGAAGGAAGAAACTAGAAAAAAACAGCCCAGTTAACTGATGGTCACAGATAATAAAGAAACTAACCCGACATATTAACCATCCAGCTTATTTTGCCTACAAAATTAGGTAGTTTCCTGCAAGAAGAAAATTCAACCTAAACTGAAGAATCAGTTGGAAATGAGGCTCATTATCTGTCATTTTGCTTTACAGATATTTTGTAAATCTTCAATCAATTCAATCATGTTCAGTCACTCTTCAGGCCAATTCTCCAACACTAATGTTGCACATTTATCCCTTCTTCGCTAGCTTTCAACCACTTCCTCGGTATAATCCCTATTCACATAGTCCTTTTCTCAATGCTTTTTCCCTCTAACTTAAAATATAAAGAAGGATTAGTACAAGAGGCCCCTATTAGCCTCTCCAACTACTGTATCTTCAAAATCAAAAGGAAACTCACTTCCATCCCTGGGTAAGTAATTTAACCTTCCTGGCGCCTGTTTCCTCATCTGTAAAATAAGGATAAAAAAATGGCTTGCACTCCATGAGTATGTATCTGGCAGGCACATGCCAGGTGATGAATTACTGAATGAAAGAATAACTCTTAAAACCGCTAAACATGAAATGAAGAAGCGTGTGTACTTAGCACACTGCCAGGCACACTGCAAGTGCACATTCAATGGAAGATACTGCCATCATCAAAATCTTCAGTGCATCCTCATTGTCCACAAATTCCAATTTAAACATTTCTGTCCTGTTTATAAAAGAAGCCTCTGGTTATCGAGCCTTACATCTCACCAACTTAATCTCCAAATAAGCATTCCCACTAACATCACATCAGTGTTTTCTCTCTTCTACAAAGAGGCCAAGCTTATTTCTCAAGTTTGAGACATTCATTCTTAACCACCCTCTCAAACACCTTTTATCTTCCCTTGCCTAGCCAAATACCATATCCTTTAGTTTAACATCCCATCTTGCCCAGGAAGCACTTCCCACCCATTCCTCCTTTTACTCATTTCTCCTTTTACCTAACACACTCTCACACACGTTTATTATTGTGTCTTACCTATCATTAAATCTTTCTAGGTAAACTGTAAATTACACTGTAGCTTTTACTTCCATACGCCCTAGCCATCCCCAAAGCAAGTGTATGGATATTACATACAGCATAAATTGATTGACCTAAACTGTTAACAGTGGAAGATTATGGATAAGATTTCTGGATAAGATTATAAATGATAATCATCACTTTTATTCTTTCTTATAGCTTCTAAATAAGTCCTAACCAAAAAGAATAGATTTTTCTGGCACTCTATGACTCAGAAATCTTACAATGCCATTTCTACAGATCCACGCTGAAATAACTTATGATCCTATGATCCTATAAGATCTTCTAGATAATATATAAAATAGATATAAGTAGATAAATGTACAAATGTATATCAGAATTTTAACAATTATTTTCTATATTGCAGTTCTCAAGAAAAAATCAGTAGTTCAGATATGGTATCCAGGGTAACTTATTATTGAATGTCCATGGTATTTTCTGATTAACTAGAAGTTCATTGTTTCTGTTTTCCAATAATTGGTATTTTCACAATGACTTTATGCTCAAAACACAAAACTTTCTACTACAAAAGTGACACCATCAATGTATTTGAATATATTTGAGACACCAATATAATTTTTAAAAATTCTTACCTAATCCTTTTTGTCCTGGATTCTTTGCAAAATTAAAGGTAAACTGGTAAAAATCCTTAAATCGTCCTGGTTCTTTCAATTCTTGTTCCATCTTGGGTATCTGGGCCTTTAGTTTTTCTATGCTGTCACATCTACATTGTAAAATTAAGAGTACAAAAGATTAGCTTTTTCACTATAAATTAAGGACTAAATTTACTCCTATGACAGCTTATATTTCACAGAACTTTTTAAAAAAATCAGTTAGTTGAAGTTTCATCCTTTTACATTACATAAACAAGAATGGGGTTAGCTAGAGGAAGAAAAGGTCTGGAGTGATTCAATATCAGAATTACTATTTTTAAAAGAAATGAGCTATTACTTCCAATTATGTAATTCACTGGACTATCAACACACCCAAACTGTAGGAGTCAGCGGCAGTGAACAAATGAGAATGTACAGTAATCACCGTAACAATCATTAGATTAAACTGTAGCGGATACTCTTTACATGGTAACAAGTCACGAGTCCAAGTCCTCACCACTTGCTTAGGTGAGGAAGGAAGCATTCCCTTGAAAATGCGTTGTTATACAAAGCCTAATAGTAAGTATCAGCTGAGCCCCCTTCCATCTCCAACTGGTTATCTCAAATTGGTATTAAGCTTTTTCTACACTTGCGTTCAATTTCCAAGGAATTGAAAGGGTCTCTGTACCCATCTTACTTTCCATAAAATAGCCTGAGGGCAAAAATACTCTGTATGAATTCCACCAACCCATCATCCCTTTTTCCTTCTAATCATTTCTGCTTTTATTTTCCCTTCTATGTTCTTTAGAACACCTTCCAGCTCATTAGTTTGTAGATGACAATTCTGATTTGGAAGTTCATTACATTTTATGTGAATTCAGTTTCAAATGGAAAAGGAGTTCTAATGAAACCTGTCCTAGCATAGAAAATTCCAACAAGTTCAGGATAGGACTGGCTTGGGAGGTAGAACACAGTGTCTAGGCCAGCTATTAATTTATTGCTCCTCAGCTTTAAACCTACCCTTCTTTGCCCTATTTCATGACTATCTGCAGTCGACTACTAATCGTTAGACAGTTTTTCTTAGAGCTGGCTCACTGGTAGGTTCTACCAATAGAGGGCGATGAATGGATGGAAGAAGAAGAAGGACCTTTTCCTATCCCAGTTTGTTTTCTGCAGAAAGCAAGGGTTTGAGTGTGCTCGGAGCTCCCAGCAGTGTTCACCAATGGTGGCAACTCACAGGGCTCCACAGCAAGTGGCCTCTAGCCAGTTTCTTCTCTACCAGAGTGGCAGGCAAAGCAAGCATCACAGGCACCGTGTTCCTGCAGCAGCCACACCCTCTCCTCTGGAGGTCTAAATCTCAGCCTTGCAGGGATTTCTAGGTTCCTTCCTAGTTCACTTCCCTCAGCCACAAGGATGGCAGCAGCTTCTTGCAACTGCCACCGCTGTTATACCTTTGAGTTTTCTTTTTACCCCTTTTACACAATACAATGATTTAAAAAATTTTTTCTGTTCAAATTACTGCCATGGTTTTTGTGTTGTCTGGACCCCTGACTGATTACAATGTCCCTCAGGCTCAAGAATCAGAATGCCTGGGTTCAAATCCTGACTCTAATCTTTAATTAGATCCTCACCTAATTCTATAATTTCTCTGTACCTCACTTTCCCCATCTCTAAAATGGGTCTATAAACACAACTTCTCTAACAAAATTGTTGTGAGGAGGCAGGTGAAATACTAAACTTAGCATTAGTTCCTGAAATAAAATGAATGTTCAACAAATGTTAGCCATTATTACTCATCATCCACTAAAAACAGAAAGGGCAGCCTGTTACCCATCCATAGACTGAATACTTTTTCATATTCTCATTAAATAGAGACAACTAGACACTGTAAGTAAAATCTCTACCCATGACCTTTTAATGTATTGGTCCCAAGACATTTAGCTAATCAGCTGTCAAGGTATAAGTGGAACAAAAAGTGATTATAACTTCCAAGATTTTACATTCTAGGAGTTTGTTTATAAATTCAGAGTTCACAGAACCTCACATTGAGAAATGAATTATAGCTTGCTCATTTCACTTATGAATGTTAAATATTAAAGCATAGTGATTTATTTTAATGCTAATGAACCTCCCCCTTACAAACAAATGATAAAAGTATAATGCAAATGGAATAGGCTGAACTACACAGATAACTTGACAAACCCAGAAAACTATGTAACATGGGAAGGAACTAGTATATTTATACCAATGTTTGTAGGCTGGTAAATTTTAGAACTGACATTTAAAAATTCACAACACAATTCAATTCTACATAGTAATTCTCATAGTAATATACCTAATTTCCTGTGGTAATAATATACTCACCCTAACTCTGTCATGCCATCCATGAACTCCTGTTTGGAGAACTCGCACTGTGTTGCTGCTCTGAACTTCCACGCAATGATCAACACACTAATACTGGCTGGATCGAGTGCCAGGTCATCACAGAACTGCTGTATACCATCTATTCCAATTTTATTTTCATCTTGAGGATCTTTAAAAATAACAGTGCAATACTAAATTAGTGTTATGCCTATAACCAGAAAAAGTAATGTTTTTTATTCCATTAAAAAAAATCACAATAGATCAGAGATATGAAATGATAATATTCTAACAGATATTTTCCCCCTATATTATTTAAAGCCAGTTTGTCCCTTAATTAGCAATCTTAAGATGAACAGGAGGATACACACACACACACACACACACACAGATGGGCATTTGATATTTAAAAGTTCCACTTATTCACTGATTCATTTAATCATGTGAAAGAATGTCCCATACTCACACACATTCAGAAAATCAGATGCTCCTGTACAGGAAAAAAGGATTTTTTTCTGAACATATCCATATTTTGTTTAAGTAGGCATTCTAAGTTTACACTTATGGGGGCACCTGGGTGGCTCAGTTGGTTAAGCATCTCTGACCTTGGTCTCGGCTCAGATCATGATCTCACAGTTCGTGGGTTCGAGCCCTGCATAGAGCTCTGTGCAAATGGCATGGAGCCTACTTGGGATTTTGTCTCCCTTTCTCTCTGCCCCTCCCCTGCTCGCTTGCTCATTTGCAAAAATAAACATTAACAAAAATTATTTCAATAAATTAACACTTTTATGTACAGAATTTGTTTTCTTAGAGCAAAGTTCATTTTACTATGACAATCATTTCTTAAGAGAAAATCAGAAAAACTGTAAACTCTGCAATTCAATCCCAATCTCAACAATATACGCATCTGTTGTCCAAATTAAAGAAAAAATTCAATTATTGATATTTACTCATCAGACAGCAAAAATTTTTAATGTAATAAAAGGAGAAAGAGGCACTCATATAGTGTGTGGTTGTATGTGATTTTATAACATCTCTAGGAATTAAAAACATGCATATCTTTTGACTCTGGGGGGTGAGTTAAGGATAAAACATAAACCCATTTTTGGAAAATTTTTGAAAGAAACTGTACACTATTTCTGTATAAACATAAAAGACGTGGAAGGACCTACACCAGGCTATTAAATATTGGTTCCCTGAGGAAAATAAAGAAGGAGAAACTATTAACTTTTTCTTTATTCATTATATGTTGTTTAACTTTTTTTTTTTTTTTTTAATTTTTTTTTTTCAACGTTTATTTATTTTTGGGACAGAGAGAGACAGAGCATGAACGGGGGAGGGGCAGAGAGAGAGGGAGACACAGAATCGGAAACAGGCTCCAGGCTCTGAGCCATCAGCCCAGAGCCTGACGCGGGGCTCGAACTCCCGGACCGCGAGATCGTGACCTGGCTGAAGTCGGACGCTTAACCGACTGCGCCACCCAGGCGCCCCTGTTGTTTAACTTTTTAAAAGTGAATATAATTCTTCAAAGGTTGTTAAAATTATTATGCAGGTTTTCTTAAAATTGGTTCAGCTGAGTTTTATAAAAATGAGGGGGAAAATCCAGGCCCCCAGTCACTATTTTCAAATTGGATCATGGGGGATAAAAAAAGAGGGAAGATAAGGGAAGAAGAAATAAAGAGGCTAAGAAGAAATTTTAGTGAAAAGAAAGTAATTTCTCTCAGATCTCTTGAAGTAATTATAAGATCTACAGAGCTCTGTAGAACACATCCACCCAATTTATATTCTATGTATGTCTGATTCCTCACAAGAAGCATGCAACTGTGGAAAACCTGGTTCAAAACATTTAGTCATAAGCACTCACCTTTGTATCTATTGTATAGTTGTTCTAACTTCTTCCTGTCCAATGATCCTTTTACACTCTCTCGTATATACAGTTCAGGATTTTGGAAAAAATTGTCTGTTGCAACATCTAACTTCCAGTCATTTTGAGACAGACAACTTACTGCTGTTTTTTCACTAGATTGTGTGAAGATCATAAACTGACGAACTTTATCCTTCTGCGATGATTTCAACTTGTTCTATTGAAACCAGAAAATAAATTGAAACTCTACATAAAATCACAGATGACTAAATATTTCTATATGGCTGACCATTCTTAGTTAATACTTTTCCTCATAAAATATTAAAATATTTTGAGATTTATTTTTGATCTGTCAATCAAAAAGACAAACTTTTTAATGTGAAACACAAAATTTGGTATTATTTTACAGAAAAAAATTAAAAAGTAAAGGAAATTCAACCACCTACATTTCTCCTAAAGGTGGATCCTGATCACATATATAAAGGCTCTAGAAGGGAAGTACAGCTACTCTCACAATCTTGACCAAGCACAAAGCTCTAAAGGGATACAGAAGGAGTGTTGGGGAAGAAAGTGACATTATCTAGCCAGCCAGAACAGTCATTGACCCCAGGGAACGAGATTAACAGGTGTTAGCTGCAGTCCTAAAACCCATTATAAAGGATAGAGGGTACAATTCTCCCAACCCCGCCCCCTTGTTTTCTTGCTATTTTACCAAATGTGAAAAAGCAACGAAATATGAGTACCCTACATTTCTCCTGGCGGTGTTCAGGAACCAAGATAATTATCAAGAGAATTTCCTCATGTTTGCATTCAAATAGAAAGCAGTGAAATATGAACAAGTACCCTGGATCCTTCCAACGAAGGTAATTTTTAATAGAAGTCTTCCTTTTTGCCCCTGAAAGAATCACCTCTTTCCTTCCGCCTGAGCCTAGCAGAGGCACTCTCCAAATAGCCTCTATACTGTAATAACCTCTTCTCACTTGCCTTATGTTGACACAGATTCATTTCTCATCTGACCTGAACCCTAAGCAAAATAAAGCAGGGCAATTAGACCCACTACTCTCCCAGTATCAAGAACTATGTTCTCCCTCCCTTCCCACCCCAATCTGGTCTACTCCTGTGCAATTTTAGCCTCCTATTATTCTCCCCCCTACCAAGTCCTTAACACCATCTCTCAGCAAAATACTTGGGTTCCTGCCGAGCTACTACTGGAAGGGGAAAAAAAGCACATGAGTAGGACACACATTAATAGATAGAAACTGTTCTGTAGATGAAGCAACACATCTGAGAACCCCAGAATCTTTGATCTAGCCCAAACTGATAGATCACAAACCTCAATCCCCTGATTGTACAGATGAGAAAAGAGACCCAGAAAGTTAAGGAATTTGTTCAAAAATCACCCAGGTTATTATTAGTAGAAATGGGACATGAACAGAAAGATGTCATGAATCTGAGTCTTGGTAATCTTTCCATAAACCACACTGCATGCTGTACATATTTATAAGCCCTTTGAGATTTTCAAGAAAAGACTACTATTACAGAGTAAAAATAAGAATATGTAAAATCAAATATGAAAACCAACCCCATGTCTTGCAGTATTAAAACTGTTTATGCCCTGGAGTCTGATTTGTCAGCCACACTCTTCTCTCTCTGTAAATATGTTATTGTTTAGGATTACAGATTAAAATTTCAACCTCTGTTCTCCATTAAAGAAACTACAAATTCACTAACTTCCTGTTACTTTAGTAATAACTCTAATAAAGTAATAACTTTAGTATAACTTTAGTAGTTAACTCTGGAGACCAGATAATTTGTACCACATTATACAACCCATCTCTCAGATGTCTAGGATTCTTTGCTTTTGAAAAATGTCTCCTCGTGATTTATTATTCAATTGCAACAAACCCACAATGAAATCAAATGCCAAGGAAGATACCAGTCCTATAGGAAACCACGTTGATTTGTTATTAAAAACTATTTTTAAAATGAGTATGCTTTTTGCTCTTGAGAGATATAGTATGCTGACATATGTTTTAATCCTTCTTTGAAGAACAGGGAAGTATCTGACGGTCACTACGATCATCAGTGACCACTGTATAATGTTGTACAAAGTGTTGGGAAATTAACCTGGAAGTACACAGGCCGCATCCAGGAAATTGCTTTTTAATTAAGCCTGAATTAACCTCTCTGTATTAACTTTTTCCCATTCTCCTAAAAGTTGGAGGCAGAAAAATAATCAGGATTACTTGGAGTTTCATCATACAGTATTAAATTCAGTGTTCTGCTCTCTGAAATTTGAAACATTTTTGTTGAAGAGAGCAAGGAGAACTATAGCTTAAGTCACTTCTGCAAGCCAAAAAGAACTGTTCGGCTTATAATGACTTCCTGCCATAGTGCCAGATATTAGAAAATTGGGGGAACAAAGATAAAAAATCATCTTACCCACACAAACTAGTAACAAAATTATACAAATGAATCATTTAACTCCATATCTTATTTGAAAAAAAAGTATATGTAATAAATTATGCCTACATGTAAATTAAACTATTTTAACTGGTTTAAATTTCTAGTATGTGGGGCAATATCAATACATTTTAAGAAAAAGGGCTGCAGCTATCCACTTTCAACACCATAAAGGCTAATGAATGATACCTGGTGTAGAACTGACTGGATGGGTTCCTGATAGGCCAAGAAGCAATAAGCAATTCCATTCCTGCAAAGTCTGGTAAGTACCCTCCCTTTTGTACTTAAAATGTACTCTTACCATTTTTCTCTCAGTTCTCTGTGCCTAGAATCAATCTTAAGCATGTGTTTCCCCTCTACTAGGGAAGATCCACTCAATTCCGTAATCTCAAAGGCTGTCCTAGAGTAAAGCTAAAGTGTACTACATACAGCTGCCCCTTCCCACATCTCTAGAGCCCTCTAACACTCCTACTTTTTTTTCCCAGGCTACATGGGAGTACCAGGCAAAGTTTTCTGATTTTGAGTATGGCATCAAAGGTTTAAATTTCTATCAACTTAAGGAAGAGAAAAAGGGTATTTAGCCAGCAAAAAGAAAATTATTTCATAGGGGATAAGAGGGTGGACAGAAAACTGAAAAAGAAAAAAACAGATGGATTTTCTCTATTTCTACTACAAATGCAGTGGGGATCTTCCTAAGAGCAAAAACATGTGACAACTACAATGATTCAGCACTCATAAGTATATATCATTCACTTTAAGATTTATTTAAAAGGAACACACTAGATAAAGCATTAAATAAGATGAGACAATACAATCTTCAGTACTCAAATATGAAAATTATCTAAATATTGTCAAATTTTCAAGGAAATTCAAGATTGAAATAAGTAAAATGTATGAAATATAGGATATATTCTGATTATTTTTAATTCTAGCAAAAAAAGAGAGAGAATGGAGGCAGGGAGGAGAGAGGGGAGGGGAATAGAAAAAAAGAAGTGTTGTCTTTTGTAACAGAAAGTTAATTACAATTGTATGTGGTTACCAAAGTTAGAAATATTACTATAATCTGGACAGTAAAAAGCACTTATTTGCTCATCTTTCCAAAATAAAAAATGTGGTGATCAACACATATTGTTTAATACTTAAATCCAGCACATGTCTGCAATTTTTTTCACTCAATGTATGAAAAAAATTTTTTAAGAAATTTATGAATCACATTTAAAATAACAGTTTATCTGGAAAACAATAAACACAATACTCTGGACATAGCCAAGTTATCATGTAGTCAAGTACATCTTACCACTGATCCTATAAAGTCTATAGCGATAGAAGAATGGAGACAGAAATGCTCCACAAATAAAAATAACAATGATCACGATGTTAAGAAATTCCTCTTATTATTTCCACGAATAAAAATAATGAACATGTAGAAGTATTTCCTAGTCAACTAAGTCCTAACAATTCCAAAATGGAAATGCTTTTAAGCAATATTTTTTAAGCAAAAAATTAAAACACATTTATATCTATTATTCTGAATTTTCAACTTCTCACCCTTAAAGTTTCAAATTCAGTCTGAACTCCAAAAAGAAAAATACCAAGGTCTTTATATTTTAAATGAATTAGTTTTCTAACTCAATTCTAGTTCTCTCAGGATTTGATGAACCTAGCTCCCAAAGACCATGCTTTAAAAAATCAAAACACTGTAATGATCACCCATAGTTCTAACAGCTGTGTATAGCTTCTCATGGGTTTACCATCTGATTAACAATTTAACTTCACCTGAAACTTAGAAGAGCTAGTTTAAGTCCAGAAAAACCATACCTTCCATGTATGATACATAGTATTCAGCAGATATAACCAAACGTTACCCATATCCCAAACCATTCATCTATGAAAGACTTTTCCATAAAATTACAGGTCTGAAGTCAAAAGTGCAAGGAAAAAAATCAATTCAACTTATGAGACTACCCACTCCTGGAGAAGACTTTCACCTAGGGGCAAAGTTCTGCAGGAAAGCCAGACTAAGAATCTAGGTAGGAGAAGCTAGAAATCCTCTTCCCCTCTACCTGCACAGAGAGGCAATATATGATTAGTGTAGAGTAGTGCAGACTCTCAAACCAGACTGGCAGGATTTTAATCCCACCTATGCCTCTTAATTGCTGTGTGACTTTGGGAAAATTACTTAACCTCTCTCTGTGTGCTTCAATTTCCTCATCTGTAAACAGGGTGTGAAGGTTACGTAAATTCAGGCTAAACTCTTTAGAACTGTACCTGGCACATATATGGTAAGGAGTCCTTTCAAATCCATGAAGAATACTCCAGAGAAAAAATAATAATTGTATGCAAATAGAAAAATATGATTAACAATCATCATCAGAAAACTAGCAACTAACATTTGAGTTCCTAGTGGGTGCCAACACTGTGCTAGGCATTTAAATTACTAACAATCCTTCAAGGTCGTTATCACTGATTCCATTTTACCAATAAGAATACTAAGCCTCAGAGTTCAATTTATCTAAGGACAGACTTCTATAAAAAGTAGTGGAGCCAGGAATGAAACCATGGTGTCTGGCTTCAAAGGCTTGCAGTCTTTCCATTTACTCTATATTATCATCAAGTGAAAGAGAAAACAAAAAGTGCAAAAGTGCAACCACTGACTAATTATGTGTGAACTGGAAGGAGGAAGGGAATTGTGAGCTGGATTTCTTCACCTATTTTTATGGAAAAGTTAAATAAGTAATCAATTGACCTTTCCCC